TTTTCCCCCTTGCTGGAGCTGGGGTGGGCATGGCTTCCGCATGACGCATCCAGTCCACGGGCCGGCAGTTTGACACCCTTGGTCTAGTATAATGAAGAGAAGGACTAAGGGTGATATGATAGCAGTCTTCCAGTACTTGAGTGGCTGTCACAGAGAAGAGGAGATTGACCTGTGTTTTCCTGAAAATAAGCCCTAGCTTGATTTTTGGGGGTGGGCTTAATATAAGCCCTACCCCCAAAATAAGCCCTAGTTTTGGGGCGAGGTGCATGCCTAAAAGCCAAGCTAGGGCAGGGGTGGAGCTACCCCATGTGCCCCACACCCGCTTACCATTGCAGTCAGGCCTCCCATGAATTGACACCTGCCTCGCCGGCCCACTTCTGCGGCGCCCCCCCCCATCCTGCATTTCGCCATCAGAGGCCTGGCGAAATGGAGGCCGGAGCTCCATTCTCAGCTGCAGAAGTGGGTGGGCTGGACTGGGCTGTTGGTGCTGCCGCCGCAAAAATAGACACCCCCTGAAAAAGATCTGGTGCCTCTTTTGGAGGCAAAAAAACAATAAGACCAGGTCTTATTTTTGGGGAAACACGGTATTCACCAAAGCACCTGAAGGTGGAAAAAGAAGTAACATGGAAGATCGTTAAAGAGAGATCCAACCTAGAACTAAGGAGAAATTTCCTATCAGTGAGAACAATCAGTGGAACAGCTTACTTCCAGAATCTGTGGGTGCTCCATCACTGGAGGTTTTAAACAAGAGACTGGACAGCCATTTCTCCAGGATGGTATATGCTTGAGCAGGGGATTGGACTAGAACAGGGGTCTCCAACCTTGGCAACTTTAAGACTTGTGTACTTCAACTCCCAGAATTCCCTAGCCAGCTATGCTGGGAGTTGAAGTACACAAGTCTTAAAGTGGCCAAGGTTGGAGACCTCTGGACTAGAAAACCTCCAAAGTCCCTTCCAATCCTATGATATGTTCATGTACATGAAACACCCCAGACATCCCTTAGAAGATGGACAACATAAATGTTCAGATAAGAACATTTTAAGAGACACAGGATGAAAACTTACCATTGCTCTTTTTAAAGACCTCAGTGTATTATTTTTTCCTAGCAAAAGAACAAAGAATTTCACTGCATTAGCAGTGGTCATTTATATGGGCATATAACTACCAGTTCCGCTATTTGAACATAATTTGTTCTATTGTTAATGTCACTTTAAAAATATACAAAGGGTTTAGTATTTGGTTGACTTTCCACATATAAAAATAAATGAGGGTGAAGATTTGTTCTCCAAGCTTGTGGGTTGGTTTCTGAATGTTTCGTTACCAGGCTAGGTAACATCTTCAGCGGTGTTTAAAAATAAAAATAAATACTGAAAATATACTTCATTTATAGCCTTCAAGGCAAAAACACTTTATAGTGTTATAATAATGTTATTTCACTTGCTCACAAGCTATTAGGGACACTTGTTGGAATAATAATCAGACATAATCACTACCTCTGAGTCGGTGGCACTAGTGAAAAAAAAAACCACTCTGGAGAAACTGTTCCTCAGCCCTACCATTCTCTTATGTGGCAGATGTTAGAATCTGCCTCTATGACTTTGCTAATCACCATAAAACAGTGAAAAATGGCAGAATAATTACAACTTTTTAAAGTGTCAGTTTTTTAGGTTTCATTAAACACACTAGTGGTTTTTTTTAATACTGTATATTCTAGCAAATTTGTAATGTGCTTTCACTGTCTTTGGTTTGCACATTGAGACTGTTTAACAATGCTGTTAATGTTCATATGCTGTTTACCTTTTTCCATGGGCTCTCTTAGCAAAGAATAAAATATATTTATTTTGACCATGTGTAAACAAAATTTCTTTAGGGCAAGCCTCTATACACAAGAAAATGGTCTTATATTTTTAATGTTTAAACTTCATTTCAAAAAGGTTTGTCGTTTGCATCCATGACAATTAAAACATGTGGTTTTGCACAGCTTTCTAGAACATTTCTACAAGCCAATCAGACAAATACATGACATTTCAATGAGTAAAAAAGAGCATAAAACTGTACGTGTACAAACGAAATGTTAAAATGCCTACACACAATAATAAAAACCAATTACAACATCACATAAAATAAGTCAAATGTACAAAAAGTCTGTGACAGAAAAAGACCAAAGGACAACTTAAAATATTTGTTGGAAGTTTGTGTGCTCTTTCTGCACTTAATTAAAACATAGCAAAATCATCATCTTCATCAGACTCCACAAAATACTTCACTTCTTTTCTAGCCCGACCTGTCCGTGGCCTGGCAGTTGTTTCGGAAACAAAGTCAGATGGGAAGATGTCTACATCGGAATCCTGATTGAAGGCTGTTTTCTTCACTTTCTGTTTTAAAATAATTATTAAAAGTTGCTGACTATACAATATTTTAAAGCTCTTAATTTGCTTTAAAATATCTATATGTAAGCTAACCCATGAATTATTTTACAATGCTTTCATTACTAACTAATAAGTGTATCTAGCAGATTGTTTACCTTGCTTCTTCCAGGGTTATATTCACCTTCATTTTCAGAACCAGATGCTTTCCTTTTCTTTGCTCCCCTGCCTTTTCCTAGTAAAAGATTGAAGGGAGAATCTACATCAGTTCTTTGTATGTTTTACCATACTAAGTACCATACTAATTATTATTATTCTTTTAATTAAAATATGTTTGAAGATATATTATTAAATATAACATTGTTTAGAGAAATTATTATTTCCAGGTAATAATTAACCCAAGAGAACCAACATTTCTCTCCATTTTTTACTGTATAAACAATTTCTCAAAACAAGGTCCTTGATTTAATCACAGACAAAAGTCATAAAGTGCATGTTGATCTAGTAGGCCCAGATACTTGATGGAATGCCTCTTCCAGAATGAACCTTCTTGAATATTAAGGACGGCTGAGAATCACTTTTGTGTATCTCACTTTGGGGAGGCATACATTTTGCAGAAGACAAGAGTGGGCCTTCTTGGCTGTGGCATTAGATCAGATCTTTTTTTATCAGCCTATATGACTCCTGTATGTTGTTTCAATTTTTTTGTATTGGTATTATAAGAAGTTTAATTTACTTTTTACTTTTTATAGTGTCTGTTCTTTTATTACTTATTTTATGTTGCTCTGAAATCTTAATATTTCTAAGGAGCACTTTAATAAAATAAAACCATAACATGTTTTTGTTCGAGTTTGATGAGTGTAAATTCAAGAAGTATTTCTAAACTTGTCAGTATATAAACATTAAAAGGAAATATACAAGAAAAAGACATCTTAACAGACTTCCATTGGTGCCTTTTAACAAGAAAAGCAATTAATTTTTCTGTCAAATAAGAGTAAGTTTAGAAATGTGTATTCATGACACTAACACAACTGGAAGTTTGGAACATCAGGGTTTATTATTTCTATCTTCTTAGGCTTAGGAGGTATTTTCAGCTTGGAGGGCAGATCTGATAGTTTTGCTGTTAATTATGTAAATAAATATTAAATTGCAGCAACACCAACAGAAATTTCATAAGGCTCTACTAATTCTCCTTTCCCCCCTTCCCATACCTTGGAACATGTACAGTGCATTCATAAAGTATTCAGACCCCCTTGACTTTTGTCAGTTTTGTTATGCTGCAGCCTGATACCACAGTTGTTGAAATTCATTTTTTTCTCATTAATCTACATTCAGTACCCCATAATGACAAAGTGAAAACAGAATTTTAGAAATGTCTGTAAATTTATTAAAAAGAAAAAAACGAAATATTACATTGGAGTAAGTATTCAGACCTTTACACAGTACTTTATTGAAGCACCTTTGGCAGCAATTACAGCCTCGAGTCTTTTTGGGTATGATGTGACAAGCTTTGTACACATGGATTGGGAGATTTTCTGCCATTCTTCCTTGCAAATCCTCTCAAGCTCAGTTAGGTTGGATGGCGACCATTGGTGGACAGCCATTTTCAAGTCCCTCCAGAGATGTTCAATAGGGTTCAAGTCAGGGGTCTGGCTGGGCCACTCTAGGACATTCACAGAGTTGTCCCTGTGTTGTCTTGGCTGTGTGCTTAAGATCGTTGTCATGTTGGAAAGTGAACCTTCAGCCCAGTCTGAGGTCCTGAGTGCTGTGGAACAGGTTTTCATTGAGGCTATCCCTGTACTTTGCTCCATTCAGCTTTCCCTCAACCCTGACCAGTCTCCCAGTCCCTGCTGCTGAAAAACACCCCCACAGCATGATGCTGCCACCACCAGACTTCACTGTTGGGATGATATTGGGCAGGTGATGAGTGGTGCCTGGTTTCCTCCAGACATAACGTTTAGAATTGAGGCCAAACAGTTCAATCTTGGTTTCATCAGACCAGAGAATCTTGTTCCTCACAGCCTGAGAGTCCTTCAGGTGCTTTTTTGCAAACTCCAAGCAGGCTTTCATGTGTTTTGCACTGAGGAGAGGCTTCCATCTTGCCACTCTGCCATAAAGCCCAGATCGGTGGAGGGCTGCAGTGATGGTTGTCCTTCTGGAACTCTGTCCCATCTCCACACAGGATCTCTGGAGCTCAGTCAGAGTGACCATCGGGTTCTTGGTCACCTCTCTTACTAAGGCCCTTCTCCCCCTGATTGCTCAGTTCGACCGGGCGACCAGCTCTTGGAAGAGTCCTGGTTGTGCTGAACCTCTTCCATTTGAGAATTATGGAGGCCACTCGGCTCTTAGGAACTTCAGTACAGGAGAAATTTTATTGTAGCCTTCCTTAGATTTGTGTCTTGCAATAATCCTGTCAGCAACGATCAAGAGAAATGGGAGGCACCTGAACTAAATTTCACATATTTTTGCAAAGTGTCTGAATACTTATGCCAATGGTATTTCAGTTTTTTCTTTTTAATACATTTACAGACATTTCTAAAATTCTGTTTTCACTTTGTCATTATGGGGTACTGAGTGTAGATTGTTGAGGAAAAAAATGAATTTCAACAACTGTAGAAATTTTACAAGATGAAGTTAACTAGTAAATTTCAAACACTTGCCTTTTTTAGTGACAACTGTTTTACTTGAAAGTTTTTCTGTCTCTTTTGGAATAAAAGAAGAGTCGATTGGTGTTGAATCTTCCTCAGCACTGTCAAATTTTGATGTATCTGAAGAGTACAAAATGTTTTTAATGTCTTACATATCAATGATTATCTTCTTAACACTAAATATAAATACTTTTTCATATTAAAATGACATAATAACACACACAAGCTCACAAAGATGCTAAAAATATTTGAAATGTTCAATACTCCATTTAGGCATGCTAAATATATACTAAATGTTCATGCTTCCAAAAAGCTCAGAACATCTCATTTCACACAAAAAAATGGGAGTTTTCCCCTTAAAATAGGATGATTTGTGAAGTTTTGCTCTTGAAATGTTTCAGAATAAAATGTTTTGCACATGGCAACAGGCATATTTAATACTGAGGGAACTGAAAGCAGTTCTTTGCTCAGCATTTAAAGGCAATGGCCATGTTGTTCCAAGTACGTCAGTCTAAAGAAAACAGTACTTCTCTACCAGCACCTAAATATAAGAAGGATACAAGGAAGAGCTGAAATGGATTATCATGATGTGCTCAAGAATGGTAACAAGAGTGAAGCTGACATAGAAGATTAATATAAAACCATTAAAGCCATGACTCAGCCATGGCTATACAAAGACTGATGATTGATGAAACAGTTTTGTTGTTGTTGTAATTGGCTAGGTTAATATCTTTCTCTAGGAGCCCAAAGTGCTACATATGGCATTCTCCATTTTTTTTCTTTTTATGACCCTGTAATCCCTTTTATCGGGGTGAAGTCAGGGCGACTGAATGGAGCTGAGCATTTACTGGCTGGATGCCCTTCCTGATGCCTATGCAGCAGATATTTTCTCTTTGCACCCTGATAGATTAACATCTGTCGCTGCTGTAAGGTCCTGCCTTGACTACTCCTCCCAAGAAAGCAGAACTCTTGAAACAGGCATTGTTTCAAAAGGAACTTTTATTGAGAGTCAGTGATAGCAAGAGAACAAAGCAAGATCTAATGTTTTCTCGCGTGAATTGCTACATTAAAACTTTCGTTTCACAAAACCCCACCCCAGAGTCCAACTGTCCAGTTCTCATCCAGCCAATCCACAGGTGCGAAGTTGTTATGGGAACTGGAGCTGATAAGGGATGGTTCCCAGATGCTTCACCGGATTTCGCAACGGACTGGAGATAAGGCAGATGGCCCCTGACACTTTCTATTCCCCTTTTCACACCCAAAGAGATACATCAAAGTTGAGGAAGAACAAAGTAGAGGAAGTACAGCCACAAGCCCCCCTCCCAGCAGAGAAAAACCTCCCCCCCTCCCACTGGAATGGCAGAGCCCCAAAAAGAAACATTGAAGGGGTTTCTGACAGCTGCCTAGGATTGAACTCTCAGCCTCCTGAGTGTGAGGCAAGCGTCTTCACCTCTAGGTCACCATGACGCTCTATGGCATTCTCCACAATAAACCTGTGAAATAGATGGGCTGAGAGATAATGACTGGCCCAAAGTCACCCATGAGCTTCCATGGTTGAAGGTAGACTTGAACCTGATGTCAACTCTACAATGAACCAGGCTGCAGCCATTTTTCTCCTCATTCTATGTTGCCACACAGAACGGAGGGGGGCTTGCCCAGGTGCTTCGCTAGTCAAAATAATCTTCTGTCCCATGGGAACCAAGGTCATCTACTGCTCCCACGATCAGGGACTGGGCATTGTAAAACAAAGCCCGCCAAATGAATATATTGGGGAACATAGTTGATTGCATAGTTTTGTGGGTGGGACATTATACTTTGTAACTGGGTAATTTTTAGTTGGAAATTCAGACTTGGTTTCACTTTTGATTGTGCCGATACTTTGTAACTAATAAACATGTTCTTTGAGGAATTTTGAAGCCTTGGAGTTCTGCTTTATTTGTCTCTGTCTGTCGGAACAATGACGCCTGGATCCCCTAATTCTAGTCCATCCTATTAACCACTACACCACACTGGCTGTTACTAACTTGAACAAGGTGCCTGTTTAGGTGAACGTAACCAGCACAGGATTAACAGAAAGTACTAGCCAATGTTACTCAGGTTCCCAGGTAAGCCTTAAGGCAGGGATATGCAACTTTTCCCTGGGATTAAGGCTGTCCTTCACCTTTGAGATGCATGCTGAGCCATTTTCAAAACTAAACTGAAGGTGATTTCCTTTTAATTACAATTAAATATAATTTATACAGTTCTTATCTAGTCATGTACATAATTATGTAAATAATTCTCTCATTAAGAATTACAATGTAGTAACAACTTTGGGAAGCCTATGAGGGGCACACCCAAGACCGAAAGCTCAAATAATTCACTTCTGCTTTAAGGCATAGAAAGCAAGAAGCAGATTTGCTCTCACTGCAGTAATGGACAGCTACAGGTATCACCAGAAATTTCATTTTCCTATTGTAGTTCACCTTTAGGTATGATCAGGGTGTGGTATCTAATGCTTAAAGCAATTAAACAGCAGATTTTAGACCAGAAGGTAATTCAACAAAGTACAATTTTTATCTATTTGTAATTTTTTCACTTCTGCCTTACAGTTAGCTATAACTCACAAAAAGAAATTTTATAACTACTTATTTTCAAAAACATAATTCCATTTTCTGGCACCTAATGAGATTCATGAGGAAATGAAAAGACAATAACTTACATTTTCTTATCATCTTAATGCAGTGGTTCTCAACCTGTGGGTCGGGACCCCATTTGGGGTCGATCGACCATTTCACGGGGGTCGCCAAGCAAGGCTGTCCGCCATTTTTTCCCCTTTTCCGGCGGGTGCCTTACCTCCCTTGGGCTGGGCCAGCTGGTGGTCGGCCTGCTCCGTCTCTGCCGCTTGCCAGCTACGCCTCGGCCGGCGCAGGGGGCAGAACCACGCATGTGCAGCGCTCCCGGGCAGGGAAAGTCCTCGACTTACGACCGGTTGGGTAGTCCTCAACTTACGACCAGTTTAGTCCTCAACTTACGACCGGTTTAGTCCTCGACTTACGACCGGTTTAGTCCTCGACTTACAACCAGTTGGGGTCATGGCATTAAAAAGGTTGAGAACCACTGTCTTAATGCAACGGTCTTACATGCCTGGAAAAGGGCATTCTCTACAATAGGTTAAATAAAGGTTCCATATATTCCCTATCCAATTGTGACTTGCCTTCTTCTTCTTCCGTGTCTAGATCCAGGGCTTTTTTTCTCATAGAACGCCCAGAACAGAGTTCCGGCACCTTTTTTGGATGGAACCTTGTAGGGTAGGCAAGGTGGGTTGTATGACATGTGTGAGTTCCGGCACTTTTTTTTTTTTTTTTTTTACAAAAAAAGCACTGTCTAGATCAAACTTTAAACTGTCAGAATAAAGCCACCTTCTTGGCTTTGTCATTGGCCACTTGCATACTGAGTTGAAATGTTTAATATATTTTATACATACCAATATTGGCTTTCTGAGAATAAGAAGAAAAGGTAAACAGGTTGCCAAAGTCTTGACTAGTTTTAACTTGGGAAACCATCCTATGATAAAAAGAGAATTTTATTAAGCAGTTTCCTCTGCTTACAAAGGCAGCATTTTGTTTGATTTTGTGTAGTAGTGCAATACAAAGAATATGGTAATACATGGATTAATCCATACAGGTGCTCTATACAACATATATAATAATACATAAAACACAAAATGAGTGACCAAATGTGAAAGTTATTTTTCATTATGTATTATCACATTTCAATAGACAAAAATGCACATACGCCAAGTAACAATATATATTTGTTTAAAAAGGTAGATAAACATTCAGCATCTGTTGAAACTTAATATGCATAATATGCCCATGAATATACCTCACCCTACAGACACGCAACAATTTGCATTTTGTTAATCCTCATACTCCTAGAACCTAAATAAAATACTATCCCAAATGTATGACACTTACTCTGGAGAAGGCTTTGATTTGATTGGAGAGAAATCATAGTCATCCTTTTCAAGACTATCTGAGGGCACATAGTCAACTTCTCTGTCATTGATGTTTACTTTCACTTCATCAAGACTATTATTATTGTTGGTATCTTCAGCAGCAGCATCTTCTTCTTCTGAGAAATCAAATGTGTATTTGGGCCTTTCAGCTGCAAAGACAGACACAACCACAAATCTTAAACAGGCCACCTTTCTGCAAATTTTTTATTTATTTTTTTTTTCAACAAAATTTTTATTGGTTTTTATTTAACATGGTGGCAAGGCCATCAATTAATCAAAACAAAATCGTACTTATACAATTCAAATTATATCAATATAATTAACTCAGTTATACATATAAATAATCTATTATTATTTTAATGTATCCTACTTTCCCCTTTAATCAATACTATTAACTCTACTTCTATACT